CCCGCCCGCGATCGGCTGTCACGAAACGCGGTGCTGCGGCAAGGACCCGGCCCGGTAACGAGAGCGGCTCAGGGAGGCAGAGCCCCGACGGGGCGCACGCTGGAGGCCGGCATCGGCCCTGCCCCGGCCCCTCCGCTGCCCGTGGATAGTCGAGGCGGTGCGAGAGGCTGGGCAGGAGACCGGCCCCCCTGTCCCCGCTGTCCCCCACTGTCCCCCGCTGCCCCTCGTCTTCCCGCGGCTCCCCCAGCACGGAGGAGCCCCGAGGCCTGGGGGTGGCTGGAAAGTGTTAAGCGCTGCCCCCTCCTCCTCCTTCTCGAGCCCCCTGAATGCCACTGCTTTCCTCTAGAGGTCTCATTAGGGAAACCCTAACTGCTATTTTCAACATTTCCTCAATCAAGCGCCTTTAAATAGAGCTCCACAAACAAATTGGCGGCAAAAAGCGCAGATCTTGTCAGGGGAGAGGCCGCTCCAATATTTCACCCTTGTTTGCTTTGTAATTACGGCCGGGCCGGTGGCTACCTGCCCGCTGGGGCCGGCTTCCATTGCCCCCCGCTGCCGACACCTCTCCCACCCAGCGAACGGTCCCGGGGGCGGCTGGAGGGGAATAAACAAAAACTAGACAGCAGCATCGCCCCGCGCCCAGCTCTGCCCGAGATCTGCGGCTCCCAGCCCGCGGGATTCCCCCCGCAGCTCCGTCCCGAGGGCTGCCCCCCGCCCGGCTCTGAGGGCCGTCGCTTTTGCTTTGCGGGCTTCTCTCTCCTGCTCTCTGCGAAACCGCTGTTATGATTTGTTATATTTTCCACAGCTGCTTATTCTTGTTTGACTGTTGTACAAAGCCGCTTTAAATCTGCTGCAGGAAGAATAAAAGTTAAAACCGCTCTTGGACGGGTTCCTGCAGACTCATGGGCGAGTCCGGGTCCGTGGCGGTCCCCGAGCAAAGCCGCGGGCCCCGAGAAGCCCCTCCCGCGGCTTGAGGCAGCCGCCCGCTCGCAGCGACAACAAAAATCGGCGCTAATTCAATTACGGCTGAAGCCCGCGTGTAGCAGAGGGGAACTTTGGCGCTTAGGAACTAAGCTGCTATATTCGCTTGGCTATAAACTGACGAGAATATTTTATGGCGGAGGAGAAACGTACAACACAAAAGGGAAATATGACAATAAATCTCTTTTTATGGATCCTCTCTAGCAGCAAAACCACAAGGATTCCACGGTTTTACCGCTCAGCCGTTTTACAGGTACATCTACAGATGCTTATGGAGAGAAGAACCCCGTTTCCGCCACCCGGCCCCAAAGCGGGGACACCCGAATCTGTGTTCCCAGCCCAGAGTCAGCCCCCCTCGACTTCCACAGGCTCAGCACCTGCACAAGAGCTCCGTGTGAGCACTGCGAGGACACCATTTGATCATTTACGGTGCCACTGCTGTGCCCTTCCCTCCTTTACTGACATGCAGAACTTCAAGGCAGAAGGGAATGCTCCACCGTCCCTCTCCTGCTGAACACATACAGCTACTTTCTTTCTGGTTGCTCCCAAACGGTGAACGTTCGAGATCGTTTATCCACCCGTACAGCTCTAGTTTCACAGGACCAGGTTTATAGAGAGATTCACGTGCTAAAATAAGGACGGGTGGATCAGGGGGAGGATTTCAGAGCAGCGATGAGTCCAGAGCTCCTTGAAATATGTGCAGGTTCAGCATGGAAACCTCTTTCATGATTTAAATCCTGGATATGTTTGGAAACCAAAATACACAGCTCTTTGCTCTCTGCTCTCAGTACCTTTAAAAATCTGCCTTACAGAGAATATATTTTTTTCAGAGTCGTGTTCCACTATAAAATGGCATTTATATGCCCTAAAGCCATTTTATTAAATGCTAGCAAGTCAGCTTTTCAGGCAGTAGGAATATTTTTCTCTGTCCTCATGGCTCGGTTCTTTCTTTCTTATTGTCGAGTTCTAATCAGGCTTACCCTGGTCACCCAAACCCCAATTTAGGTCACCCAGAGAGCAAGGAATAGCTGCAAGGTCTGGTGGTTTGCTGCCTGGTTGTGATTTAGAAGCGTGGGCTCAAATAAAGTAACTTCACATATCGTCTCACAGTTTCACAAACTTCTTTTTCAGTGGATCAAGCAAACGATTTCAGAACCTTAGTTTTCTTAAGAAATATCGTGTAACAATCTACAGATTTGATACGTCAATCCTAACCACACGTGGAATAACACCTACAAAATGTAATGGTGGAAAAAAGAAAGATGATTGAAACTGACAGACACAGTCCTCCTCATCAGAGTGAGTTGTCCTGATTAAGGCTGCAGGATTGCTCGGGGGAGGGGAACCTATTTGCATGAATTCAACTTTTGCACGTGCCTACTGCTAAAGGAAATGGTCGGGATGTTCTTGAGCTCTCTCCAATATGTTCACCAGGCTCACATAGGGGGGCAGAGCACAACACAAACCGGTCATGCTCCGTTTTCTTACTGAGAAGCTGTCCTGGGCTGATCTCTATTGCAGCGGTGCACTGCAAATGCTGTTTTACAGCCACTTCAAGGACCTCTGTGCTAGTCTGAAGTTTGCAGCACTGGCAGAATAGAGGGAAGACCGAGCCCTGCATGAATGGTTATGCTCTGTGAGCTGGAGGCCAAGGGCTCTGCCCTGTGTGCAGTGGAGCCCGCTGACTCCACGAGTGTACTATTCCTAAAGATATGTCCTAACTTGTAAAAACTGTGCATGCCCATTTCATGTGATATGTGCATGCTCACATCTGGGCTGCATGTGTGGAAAAAGTAAAGGCACACACCGCAAACAATTTTACATGTGCAATTTTCAAAGTAGAGGTCTATGGGTCTACAGCACAGCATATCTACAGTACAAAAAATGACATTCTTCTGTACAGGAGAGCATTTTAAAGTGGCTTTCAAAGGGAAAAAAAAAGCAGCACAATTCTTGGTAGCTGATTTGTCAGTAGATTATTTCTCCTGGTGACTCCTGATCTTTCTGCTAACTCACCAAGAAAGTGTTGCTCCTAAACAGCAACATGCACACAGCAACCAGAATATTTCAGATCTTCATTTCTACAGGCTGATGTTATTAAAATTAAAAACATCTGCTTGGAGGAATGCAGATTCTCTGGATGTAAATGCTTCTCTACTCCCACGGTAAATTCAACTACACATGAAACAAAGTGTGATTCTAAACAGCCATTGCATGATTTTGCACAGTAGCAGAGGGTACAATGCTTCCCTTACTGTTTTTGTTGTTCAAAAAACAAACAAAAAAAGATGATAGCTTTCATCTGGGAACACATTCCTAATCCCTCTGTAGGTAATGGAGCTCCTATCTTGTTGCTGCTCTGTGACCATTTGGCCATGCATACTGGGCAAAGTTTCACTCTGGTATCTCCAGGACAGCTCCCAGAGAGATGTGCTTGGGATAGGCTTTTAGATCTCTGTCTGTTATCAGCTCACCAATGCAGCTTCATGACTGGGGAGAGTGCTGAGCAGAGCCCCGGCAGTCTGCATTTCAAATGCTCTCATCTCACCCCAATTAGAGGCACCCTGGGCTAGAAACTCCTCTGCAAAACCAGAGAGAAATTTCCTCCCTTTTGCTTCCCCCTTAAAATCATTTAGAAAAACTCAAATATTTGTTAGCTTCCCTTGTGCTGAAGATAAACTCTATATTCCTGTTTAAGAATGAGCAAATACATTTACTGACTACCACAATAACACATTGATTGCTGTGCTATAAGTATGCCTCTACATTCTTGGCTAATGATAAGTACAGACTGTGGAGTTGCACTGAACACTGCGGTATGTCCACAAAACATTTTGTTACTTTTGCCTGTTGGGATAGCTCTAAAAATAATAATAAATAAAAGCTGCAAACATTCTGTCAATCCTACTGGTAAGGGAACTGGAAGAGGGGAGAAAAAAAAAAAAAGATAATCCATAATCCATGGGAGGACACTGCCCTAATCCATGCAGATGTAGTGCATGACTAAGAAAGCACAATGTTCATAGCAGTGCGTATGGTGCTACCCAGAAGTGAATAATGGACATTCTTTTCTCACACTGACTCCTCGTAAATCTGCCACTGGCTAAATTTGAGGGTTTCAGAAATGGTGTTTAAATGGAAACTTAGATGAAAGATAGCATTAGTGTAAACTAAGTAAAAAACCTTGATGCCTATGCACATTTTAGAAAAAAAGCATAAGATGTTCAAATACTTTTCTATATGAGGAGGAACTGGTCCCTCCCTTGGACCACAGGTAAGAGCCTCAAGTCAGGTTATTTTCCAGTAGTCTGGAAGACCTCCAGGCTTGGCTGGTACAGGCCCGGTCTCTATTTTCCCTCTTTCTGACATTTTTCCTACAACTACCTTTATGTTTCCCATTCCAGGATATAATAGGAACCACTGAAGACAGCATAAAGCAAATGGTATGAAAGGTCCCCCCCCCCCCCCCAGTTTTTAATTTTGTCATAGTATCAATATGGCATCTTCTATTAAATGACTACCATAACCATACGTTGCATAGCTCCAAGAACACAGCAACTGTAATTGTTTAGCATCAGAAGTGATAAAATGTATGATATAATTTGAAACTGCATAGTATTTTTTTTCTGAAAAGCTATGAAATCCAGCAATTAGAATGATTTAAATATTATTCCAGAATTATGTCACTATTTTGTAAGAACGATTTTAAACAAGATCTTTTTTCCCCAACTCTTTCAAAATTTCCAGTGTTTTTACACCAGAAGCTAACAGCTCTTTCTTCCCCTACCCTCTCCCATAAAAACATTGGGGTGTTTTCAAGATACCCCACTCCTTAGCTTGGACTTCAGCCATTTAAATACTGATTGCCACTACACACTCCCACCTTTGCTGTCAACAGAAGATCTGCTGTTACCTGTAGGATGGATGCTATGAAGTTATAAATAAGACCAAAAGAAGGCTTTAAGTTTTAATATTGTTTATATCCTTTCTTTTGATGCGCGCGCACACACACACACACACACACACACACACAGAGCTATTGAAAAATTTCTGATTCTGCTTTCTTTGGGGTCCTCGTGGATGATGGCATTTGTGAAGGCGGGTGTCTCCTTCTCAGTTGGCCAGGTGAAATTTCAGTGAGTTCCTGTCGGAATGTCAAGCATTACAGTCTTAAAAATTGGGAATTAAAATGATGAGAAAAATAAAGTAAAATTCATTCATTATGTCTGACATCAAGTAAATGCTTAAAGAAGGGAAACAGCAAATGATGAGTCCTATAGTTATTGCTGTGAAACATTGATTGCTTTTCTAATGTGAGGTTAGGGATGTTATCAGTCAACATTAGGTTAGACTCTTACTCTGAGGGCAGGGAAGACAAATTTTTGTCTCTTTGGTATATGAAGAAGAGAAACAGTAGATGCCAGGCAGAACTCCCCTGTTGAAATCTAGAGATAGAGCTGAGAGGCACATGAACATGAAGATTCACTGCTGTCCAGGGGATCCTTCCTAGAAGGATAGATGCTGTAAAAGCAAACCACCAAAACATCCCTAGAAATCCTTTTCTTTATTTATTTCCAGTGACTTTAAAAATATCACAAAATTATTATTAAACTAGATTAAATGAAGCAGATATTTGTTTTCAAGCTTTAAAGCCAAGAATGTTCTTTGTGCCTCTGTCCATTTCTGCTCTCCACGTACCCTGGCTGTTTACACAAGGATTATCTTGTTTATTTTACAGTTATTATGCTTCATAGAAACTAATCAAGAGAATATTCCTTTTTTTATGACAAAAAGTGGATGTTGAATTGCTCAAGTTGCTTTTATACAACATTCTTGGGTTTGTGATAGTGTGATATTTAATAAAGTGTTTATAAAGGCAGATATAATAGTTTATCAGATCTCAGGCAGTCATAATAACAAAACTGCCCTTAGCCTGAGTGCTATGTACTATACTTTGTAATTTACAACACAGCACTTTCTAAATTACTTCATAAGCTAAGAAAGTTGCCTACCAAAGAATCAATCTTATAGGAACTAAGAAGTCTTTTCCTAAATATTTTTTCCGTTACTTAGTCTCCATACAAATCATTATTAATAGCTTGGACTCAGGCAGAAATTGCACTCCCTTGTAGCACGCAACACGTGCATGCTGTAAAACATTTTCATACTGCCTGATCTACTTAAGTTACCAATGGAAGAGACTTTTAAGCTTGAAATTCTACATGTTTAAAATGTTCTCCTGCAAAATCAGTAGGATAAAGTGAAGGGAAAAGACCAAAAGAAAGGCTGAAGAACTTACAGTAAGAATCCAGTGGAGCAATTCGAGTGGGAGTTAGCAGTTTATAAGACCATGAATAGAGAATGAAGCCTTTCATTTCTGTGTTGCCAGTCCAAGTCCCTACCAACTTGGTATGAAGTCTGCTTGGTGGGTTCATTGCAGCAGCGTGTGAAACAAAACTTATGGCACTGAGTCCAGCCCTCTTTCCGCTTGTGGCTCAGAGGGATTCCACGGCTACAGGAGCAATCACTCAAATAAAGTGTCTTTCTACTGAAGATCATCAGAAAAAGAAAGTGTCTCACAAATCAGAGTGGTGCTCTCCAGACAACTGCTAGCACCTCATTAACCAATAAGGCTAATCAGAAAACTTTTAGGCATTTTGTTTTGCTTTCCCACAGAATCAGAGAGAGATAGAGTTGTGTCTAAAAACAGAATCCATCTCCAATTAACTCACATCTCCAGATCTCTGGTGGAGATTTTATAAAGAGATGGCAGATTGTATAGCCAATGAATATAAATATGCTATAATTATGAAATAAACGAGAGTTTGGCAAAGCAGATTATAATAACAAAAAGAGAAGAGATAGAATGCTTACCCATGTCCTGGACTCGCTACAAACCTCCAGAAGAGAGATCTCCAGAAGAGATCCTTCCCTACTGGCAGTCAGCTCTTAAATGGGTCTAGGAGAGGTGGAGCCAGGCTCCACCCTTTCTGGCAGCACAGGTGAATTGCCTTCCCCTGTGCTCCCATGGCTGACTCATTGCTTACCTCAGGTGATCAGCCAGAGGTTCAGGCTGTGATTCAGCAGTTCCCATACACAGATATACATCATACTTGCAAGAAATTTTGTCAAGAGCATACCTGTAACATAAAGCTCACAGCACTGTGATAAAATTAAGGATGACATGTTTCTGGAAAATTTTGTGTAAGAACTGAAATGAAAATCAAATACAGTAGAAATAATACAGTATAATAAAATATTAGTAGCAGCACTGTCTTTTCCTTGACACTTCCTATAGATGTGACCACGTAACAGCATCTAACGTTTCTTGTGGTTGCCTTATTTTGGTATCCTTCAAGGAATACCTGATGTTTAACTCAGACAAATGGACTACCATGGAGAAAGATATCTAGTACTTGAGGGATCTACCTGTGGAAGATATGATATATGGAATTAATTTGGATGACAGAACTCACTCCCAAGATCCAGATGATGTGATATGTATGTGTACAACTGGAGGGTTGTACAAAATGCACCATATTGTCTGCCAGCACTCTGGCAGGAATGAACTGGAAAAGTAACAAAAGACCAGTGGTGAATGAAATGGCTGTTCTGACAGTATGAAGACAGTATCTCTTCCTCCCTACAGGCCTGTATCTCAGCTGTGGAGAAACTGTCCCAGGAGATCCAGAAATTCAAAGACAAGATATCTTGCACCTGTAAAAACCAATATCTCAGCTATTAGAAGTAAGTGTTCCTCCACTTGAGAGAGAGGATATAGTGGGTACACACTATGTACCATCCTGTGGCTTTACCCACATGACCATGGAGAGGCTATGAGGAAGTGGAATGGAAAACCCACCTTGGCCCTACTGGCACCAGTTCGTGAGTTGCAAGGGAAAAGAATCACAAGAGAGAGTCCTTCCAGGAAAATAGCTGCTCCAGGTTTCAGTGGGCAGTTCTCCAGACAGAGAAGATAGTCTGATCCTATCTCTGAAGTTGACAATGAGCCTTCTGGTTTTCATACATGTGAGATGAGTAATGTATACAATAGCCAGAACTAGGAGTGTCCTGCCTCCATCCAGGTGGAGGAAAGGGACAATTGCATTTATTGGATTGTGTGGATTTGATGGCCTGACACATCAGAACCACAGAGGCTCCAATGGGCAACTGGTGCACAATGTACTCTAATGCCATCAAGGTATAAAGGAGCGAAACACAGTTATGTTTCTGGAGTGACAGGAGGATCCCAAGAGTTAACTGTATTGGAGGCTGAAATGAGCCTAATCAGAAAAGAGAGGCAAAAGCACCCCATTGTGATTGGCCCAGTGGCTCTGTGCATTCTTGGTACAAATTGTCACAGGAAAGGGTACCTCAAGGGCCCAAAAGTGTTGGCGGGCTTTCAGTACAGCTGCCTTGGAGATGGAGGATGTTAAGCATCTGCCTGTGCTGATAAGCTTGGTTAGGAAATTATGTGTCATCTACTGCTTCCATGATGTGACAGCAAAATTGGTAGCTTGAGATGCCCCAGTCCTGCTGCAGATATTCTTTTTCATTTTGAGCAAGGTGTCTCATTCCGAGCAAGCCAAAACACAGGTGCTTATATCTTCTAGCTGGGTATTCCATGTATTTATTAATCTGAAAGCCATTCTTGGTTTGTAAGTATTCACAGGTCTGGCTGCCAATCCTTCCACTATCTCTATAAAAGCACAGATTTTCTTAAATTATCACCCAGGCTATGAAAGAAACAAACTCCTTCACTGCCGGTGGTAGGGTTTGGGCCATGCAGATGTAGGTAGAGGGTCAATTATCCCAGAGTGAGGACAGAGGCGCGGTTTGCAGTGTTTGAGAGAAGACCGAGATCTCCAGAGGCACCTTCATATACTGCTGATTTAAGACTGCCAAACGACTGGGTTTACAGAGCAACTTCTCTTTTTTAGCTCAGAAACATTGCTTGGGCAGCTGTTGAATCATTTATACATTTGTTAGAATTTCAAGCTGTTTGGTTTCTGTAGCAGGTCAGATGCTCTGCTCAGGCTGTTCTATGAGTGGGTTGTACACAGCCTGGTGGTAACCACAAGACTGCATGAACCCTCATAGTCAGCCTGACACTTTCAGAGAGCATCATATTTATTATGCTTGTGTGACAAAGTCACTTCATGCTTGCACAGTAAAGCTGACACTTCTAGGGGTTGGCTAATGGACCTACTGCCCATGTGCTGCCCAGTCATTGGGAGCACGCACAGTTAAGGCTCTGTAAGTCAGATTTACTGTGAATATGCAGAGCAATGAAATGTTGCATGTGCAGCAGGGAATGTTGCTTCCTGAAGTGTGGGGTGGAGTGCACATACGCTGCGCAGATTTCCCAAGCTGAAATACAGGAACTCTGTACTGGCCAAGTTGCTTAAGTTTTGAGGAGAAGCAATATTTCAAGATGCATCTAGTGTGAGGGCCAGGAGGAATCTTCTGTTTGGCACAGTGACTCTGTGCACATAGCAAGATGCCTCATACACAGAGAAAAGGATGCTTTGCTCCTTGCTTGTGCTGCTAGGTTCCACTACGAGGCAGACATCTTTAGGTGATGCAGAGACCATGTTGCTCATTGCATTTATGCCTTCCTTTCACATCTGAATGGGAACATATGAGCTTACATTAATAAAGATGCGTTAGAAAGATACTATTAACATAAATAAAGATTACAAATCATTCAGATGCTATACTGAATGAGCACCATATAAATAATTTTTATTCCAACAGTGAGAGGCCCTGAATTGCTGAGAACATCTTTATGCTAATTCTCAGCCACTTGTTAAGACGGGGCATTTGGTTACCATTACAGACAAAGACTCAAACACTGTATACAAACCTCCCTCAACTTTAGACAAAAAGAGAACCCGATCTGAGCCACCTCAGGGTACTGGTTTAGCAAAAATAAAATTAATGGAGTTTTTAAAAACACAAATCATCCCCATTTGCTGTCACTTTCAGTTTCAATGTAATTCATTATTTTTATTTTATTCCTTTTGTCACCGCATACAAAAAATGTGATCAGACGAGAGGTTAGGTTGATTTTGTGAGGTTGAGCAGAGGTCAGTGAAAAATTGATAGCAACTTTTGAGATGAAAAAAAAAATCATCAAAGCTAAAGGAAGTTTCTCAAAGTGGGATTTAATAGCAGCTATCATATTGCCTTGAATGGCTTGACCATTTCTTGTGCAGCTGTTTTATTTTAAAAGATTTCACCCACATTCCACATGTATCGGCCTATACGCTGACCTAAGTACACACATCCAAGTACTTTGGTCACTCATGATAACTATAAACCCTTCAGTGAACTACCAAAAAAGGTAGTTCAAATGGAAATGGTGAAATTCAATATAGCATTTAACCAAGTCACTGTCTAAGGTTAAACCCAAGGAACAAACAGTAACACGGGAGGGAAAAGCTAATATATTAATTAGTATGTAGACACCAGATACACCTTGCTTTCTTGAAAGCTGTCAAATTACCATGGTGGCATTTCAAGGTGAGTGAAGAAAACACGTCTATTCAAATACATAATTCCTATTTAATTCATTTTTGTATGTGTGTGTGGATGTGTAAAAAGCTTAAATACAGATTCAGAGTTGAAAAACTGCAAGGCAAGAGGGTAATTTTACCTGCTAGTCCAATTGTATTTCTGTATATTTAAGCAAGGGTAGAGTGAAGTTCTCAGAAGATCTTGAGAGTGTCAAACACTCAAGCCCCATTAACTCTCTCTCAGAAAAAGGGGAACTTCAGAGTCTTACCATGGTGTGAAGAGCAGATTGCTGAGTGACAAGTCATAGTACACAAACAGATGGACAGACAGACTGACAGATGCTTGGAAGGCTATTTTTTTTCCAGAGCTTTCCAGCTTCTTGCACAGAAAAGTGAATTGCTGACAGGAGGTGGAAAATCTGTGGAACAGCTGATCAATCTTACAGCTTTCCAAGGAAGTGAGAAGTACAAACTTTTACTTTCAAAATTGTCAGAAACAACATGAAATTCCATTGTAATCACTCTAAATATGAGATACCATTAATTGCTAGTGTCTGCAACCATGGAAACACTGAATAATTAAGGTTGTAGAGACTTTCGGAGCTCTCTAGCCCACCTTCGGTCTCAAAGCAGGATAAACTATGAAGTCAGACAAGGCTGCTCAGGGCTTTGTCTAGCTGGGTCATTAAAATCCTTGAGAACAGAGATTGCACAGTTTCTTTACCATGCCCCAGAGTTGAATGATCCTGACATTAATTATGCTTTTTCCCTTCCCGTTTTGTAAAATCATGTTTCAGTTTAAGACCACCTTGCTCTCTTGCTGTGACTGCAATGGTACAGGCTGAGAGTATCCTGACTGACGTTGAAAAGAGAAGACATTGCCAGGGTCCTAGCAGCAGCCTGTCAGTACCTAAGTGAAGGATGCTCACCTTTACTAAACAAGATATTCATCCTCTCTTCATAGATCTTCTGTCCCTTCACATTCTTGTTGGCCTTCCAATGGACTCACTCTAACCAGCTGTGTTCTGCACCAGTTCACTGCTTTCTTGCATTCATTTCTGACTGAGGTAGATTTATGAGGTATCTTGAGCATATTAATTGGGCTCATCTAATGAGAAGCATTTCTTCCTTCCTGCAGTGTCTGAATCTGTGGAAACTGCATTCAGAACAATTATCCAAATTATGACTTAGCATCTAGGTTTTGTTTCAGTTTTCCTTCTAAATTCATAACAACTCAGTAAGTGCATTAATGTTAGAAAACTTTAGGTAGTAAAGCCAACAATGCTTTGTCTTGGTATAAAGTCCTGACCCACTCAGTGGTTTTTGGTTTCTATAACATTAAGTATCAAAATTAACAAATACTTCATTATTTTAAAATTACCTTGATGTACACCAG